CAGTTGCCCGTTGGTCTATGTTCCTTTTTCGTGGCTGTAAAACGAACACACCGTACCATTCATCCGCAAACCATCTCCACGCTCAACACATTACTCCCGCCATAGAAATGGCAGCGACCACCGACTTTTGCCGCATTAAGCTTGTTCTATCAGAAACCAATCCCGGCCGCCTCCGCCGTCCCGCTAACTTCACTCGCTCCGGCTATTTCAGTTTGAATATAACGGAAGGCAAACCCCGCCGTACAAATTACTTATCCACTGATAAACTTGGTGGTTTGGGGGTCTGCGGCCAGGCTAATGAAACCGGTTTTCAGCCCCAACGCGCCGCTCCTTCTTACACCAACATTGAACTCGCGGCTTGTGCCGGCAAAGACCGCCTCTTGAAGGTAAAAATACTCTATGACCTGAGTTATCAGTGTTAATTACATGTTCATTAGTTTGAGTCATAACCTAAATTCAATTCATTGAGGAGAATTTGAGGGGTCATGTCCTAAATTGAATTAATTAAAGAGATTAATAATTTGAAGAAGGAAAAAAGTTTGAGAATTTAGTGGAAATGTGATTTTAAAGGTGAATTGAAGTTTTACATATGCAGATAAATGAAATTTCGCATAAAAAAGGAGCCCTTCTTATGGACTGAGGTCTAGTTTGTGTATTGACATTGTAGGTGCCATCGTCAAATATAAGGAACTTCTGCATTATAGCACATATTGATCATGGGAAATCCACACTGGCAGATAAATTGCTACAGATGACTGGCACAGTTGAAAGCAGAGAGATGAAGGAGCAGTTTCTTGATAATATGGACTTGGAGAGAGAACGAGGCATCACCATCAAACTGCAGGTCGTCTTTGTTTCATGTCCAGATAAACTTATGGAATTATGTTTTGCATTATTTTTTTTCTGTTCAATTTTAAAATGTTTGTGTTTACTTACTGAATGCGAACTTCGAACTAGTGTAAATAGTTGATGACTCATGGATGAGTGATATCATAGCACAGCTTCATTCACGCTGGAACCCACTAAATAAATTCGTAATCAGGAATCACTCAACATGTAGCAGCTGCTTAATCAGGAATCACTTGATGTGGCAAGCTAATTGTTCGTAGAAGAACCAATGAAAAAAAATTTCTTGAAATGATGGGCTTGAATGTCCCCACAATACAAAAACATGAATATTGAACGACTTTTACATTTACTATTAACTTTGATTCTTTAACTAACTGGAAATGTTTAAATAACACGCTAATATCTTATTGCTGATCGAAATGCATATGACAGTCTGTTGTTCAATGGCCATCACTCTCTTCATAAATAACCATTTCTGAGAATATAAATTCTATATATTTGTTGAGAACTGGTCACATAGTTTTCTACATGTGTAATGTGACACCTAGCTCTTTCCCTGTAACGTAGGTTTTCAATCAACAGTGCTTGTTCAATTGCGTACATTAAGTATGTGACACCTAGCTCATTCCCTATGAAGTAGTTTTTTCATTTTTTTTCCCAACTTGTATTTTTCGGTTTTGACACGACAAATGTAAAGCATGCAACAGTAATCAATTGTTTCGTGTGTAATACTTGAAAACTTTTTGCTCGAGTAATTTCGAATGTGCTACATGCACCCAATTAGGTGGAGCCATGATCAAGTTGTAGAAATGCATGGCATCAGTATTAATTATGGGTGGGCTACAAGAAATGCGAAATGGTTATTTGATGGTGGCTTGTTAAACAGAAATTCACTTGACTAAAAGTTTGTTTACTTGTATGGAATAGGAATAGCTAGTTACTATTAAATGACAAATGATACGCTTCACAACCTGAAACCATTACAACTTTGAACCAGTGCTTTCTTCACTAGAAATTTACTGTACACTTATTGTTCTTTTTTGTTTTTTGTTTTTTGTGTATGCATGCTTATCAAGCAATGCCTTTGACCTATAAGTCTTTTGCACTTGGTTTTTCAGTTTATAAAAAGCTAGACTGCCATCTCTTCATTATTATTCTTTGCGGCTTAAGATTCATTTTTTCCTGTAATCTTGATGCTGAATTTCTGTTCTATATGTGAATATTCTTTGCGGCTTAAGATTCATTTTTTCCTGTAATCTTGATGCTGAATTTCTGTTCTATATGTGAATTCTAAACCAAGAACTCTTAATTGATACAATTGTTTCAAATATGATACAGTATCATAGTATATTCTTCTATTACAGGCTGCAAGGATGCGTTTTATGTATAGAAATGAACCATATTGCCTGAATCTCATTGACACACCTGGTCATGTTGACTTCTCCTATGAGGTATGTCTTTTCGGACATCTAAAAGGTTTTTCCTGCGAAGTTGTCTCATATTGGCTGGCAGTGGAAAATATAGTCCTGTGGTGTGGCTTTAATGAGATGTAAGATGAACTGAATATATCCATATCCAAAGGAAAAGAACCACTAGGAAAATAAAATATCCCGTCTGTGGTTCCCATGATGGTTGTTATTTTGATGATAAATCATATACTCATTGGCTAATTATTATTAGTTATTTGTTTATATGTACTTTGGAATGGCATGGTCCCTTTATGGGAAGCTTATAAATAGAACAAATGGAGAGGACTGAATTGGATGAGGTATATTATAAATTCATTACTTGGAGAAGAGTTGGTAATATTGTTGATGATGCTCTTCCTAACGTGTATAGTTCTGCACTTATGTTTGGATAATTAAAAAAAAAAAGAAAAGATAACCGATTGACTGTGTCATCATTTGTCATACACGAAAACTGTTACTTTTATTAGTTTATGTATTATCCTTATTTTTTGAATGTTTTCAGGTTTCTCGCTCTCTCGCCGCCTGTGAAGGTGCTCTTCTAGTTGTAGATGCCTCCCAGGTACTTTCCTCTTCTCATATCTGAACATCATTTTTTCTCTCTTCCAAGGATCATAACCCTTTTCCAATCTACACAGGGAAAAGGCAAAAAAAATCAAATAATCAGTCATGTCGTATAATAGAATATTTGTGTATGGATTCTATATTTAGAATATTGTGCATATCTTTTTGTTAGGCATATTAATTTGATTTGATTTATCTTCCTATGGTTAGTAGATCTTATACATTTTGGTACATATTGTATCTTGATCCTTTCCTCCCACTATAAATTCTGGAAGTTTATACTACACCATATACAATAAGAAATAATCTTCCCCTTAATATGATTTTCTCTTTTCTCTCCGACATGGTATCAAAGCGGGTTTTGTCCAGCTGATATTTTTTTTTTCTTTTTCTTTTCTGCCACTACTACTTTGAGACGATCTGTCTCAAAATTGCTTCTGTATTGAGATAATTTTCTCATTATGGCTTCTGAAACTAAACCTGCTTTGAGAATGACCTTCAAACTTAATGGTTCGAACTATATTTTGTGGTTGTGAGCTTTCAAACTCTTTCTCGGGTCACAAAGTAAATTAAATCATATTCTATATGCTGCTCGTGATTTGAAAGATGATGGTTATGCCACTTGGATGCAAGCTGATTTTCTGGAATTACTTGGCTTCTTTATGGCATGGAAGAATTGTGAGCACCAATTTTATGTTTTTAAACTCTACGAAGGAGATTTGGGATACTTTACATGCTATGTACTCTAACAAGAAGAACGTCTCTCGTATGTTTGAACTATATGAAAAATTGTTCTCTACTTTACATGCTATGTACTCTAACAAGAAGAACATCTCTCGTGTGTTTGAACTATATGAACAATTGTTCTCTCTTCGTCAAGCATCTTAAGACAACAGATGAAATTTTGTTATACCATCCATTGTCTTTTGACGCCTCAACAAACCATCCATTGTCTTGTGATGCCTCAACCCAGAAAAACCAATGGGAAGAGTTCCTTGATGCAAAATTTCTACAGATTGGATTCCTCATTTCTACAGTTCGGGACAATTTATTGTCTAGTGATGCTATACTCAGCCTTTCTGGTTCTTTGTGTTGTGTTCTTCGAGTTTCCACAGGACGACTTGATCATAATCTCCCATTGGCATTTGAAAATTATTCACTAGCGACTCATGGTCGTGGGCTCGTGGCAGATGTGGTGGGTCGTAGTCGCGAAATATACTCATCTAGAGGCCTTTACTCTTGTGTGACTCATGTAGAGGCCTTTACTCTTCTGTTCATTGCGGTCGCTCTAATCGTGTGTTTGAGAAGTGTTGGGCGAAATTTGGCAAGCCCAGCAAACACTATATCCACTATATCTGATGATCGTGAGCACCTCCGGGTTTTGGTATGATACTTACCTCTCGTGCTGAATATGAGAAAGTGATTACTTCCACTGTACCTCTTCTACTTCTACTGTTGCTTCTTCTATTGATGGGTTTGCTGGATTTGCCGTTACTCATGGTAATTCTTGTATGTTGGATTCGAGTGCCACTACTCGTATAACTAGTAACAAATCCTTCTCTTCTTTTCACTCTCTTCATCCTTATCCCCTATTCGTCTGCCGATGGTACATACTCTTCTATCACTGCACAAGCATCATACACCCTACTAAATATAACTCTTGATAATGTGCTTTTTGGTCCCCGCTTTCCTATTAACTTGTTTTTCATGAACAATCTCACCTAAACACACAATTGCTCTGTAAGCTTTTATTCCTCGTATTGTATTTTTCAGGATCTGCAGAACGACGATTGGTAGCGGACATGAACGTGGGTAGCCTTTACTATTTTGATATTTTTACACTTGCTGATCCACATGCCCTCTCTACAACTATTTCTCCTTACCAATGGCATTGTTGACTTTGTCATCCTCCCATGCGTACGTTACAAAAAGAATTTCCTATTGAGTCTGCCCTATTATATTGTGAATCTTCTGAGTTACGCAAACACCACCATACCTCTTTTCCTGGGTCAGTGATCGCAGTGCGTTTCCTTTTGATCTTGTTCATTGTGACATTGGGTGTCCTAGTTGAACTAAGTCTTGTGGGGGATTTTTGTATTTCCTTATCCTCATCCTTGTTGATAATTATTCTAGAATGACAGGGTTGTATTTACTTAGGATAGGAGTGAAGTTCCTCATTGTTGGAAAGTTTGAGATTTGATATCATAGATCAGGATTATGATTTGATTTGGATTTTTAGAATATTTGATTTATTCAGATTCTTAGGAAATTTTTATTTCCTTTTCTTCTCTTGGAGTTCTTCTATTTAAATTTTAAAGGCCTGGTGTAAATCATAAAATAATAAGAAAAAGGAATCACCTCTCTCCATTTTTCCTCCTACTTTTTCTTCATGGTATCAGAGCTCAGCTCTAGGTAGGGTCTATTTTCTTTGGCAAACCAAAGTCCATGGAGGACTCCATTAACTGGGGAGATCAACAGGGGCTCTACAGCTTCAGGGATTCTACGGCTTATGGCTTTAGGGGAAAATGCCGTTAGTTCTAGTGGAAACATCCCCATGTTTAACAATACAGAATGGTCCACGAAGTGAATAGTCATGGAAGGAATTATACAAAATGGTCACAGACCCTTCATTTGATTATAGAAGGCAAGGGGAGGTTCCGCTATGTGACATGAGAAATAATAAAGGCTTGTTTGTTTATTAATTTACCACCAAAAAATAAAATCTCAACTCAAACCTAACTCAACTTTAACTTAACTCCAATATCTTCAATATTATAATATATTAAATAATATCAATCAATCATCCTTACACATCACATCAACTTTGATTTACTATTCATTCACTCACATAATTTTAACTACCTATCACATCTCATAATCTCCCTCCTACTTTTTCATCAAATTAATTTTAATCATTTTATTTTAATGTTATTTCAACCTACTGAAAACTAACTAAACCAACCTTTTCAAAATCAACCATGGTTAACCAAAAAAATAAAAACTGGCTTATTTGTATACAGACAAGCCCTAAACCTACTACTGATGGGGTTACAAATCTCAAGGCCTTGGAAATTTCTTGCTTATTGCGTGGTTAATAAATTCAATGGAACCCGCAATTGCCAAGGCCTTCATGTTCCTGCCAACAACTAACAACTAAGGATATCTAGAAAGCAGTTCGAGACACATATTCACACCTAGAGAATTCTTTGCAAATTGTCAACTTAAAGTCCAAACTTTGGCTTGCGAAACACGACGATCGAAATGTAACAACATACTATAACAAGTTGGTGACCTTTGTGGCAGGAGATTGATCTCTCTTATATGATGATGTCTGGAGTGCACAAATTACAGTGTTCGGTTTGTGAAATGACTAGAGAATGACCGTGTCTTCATGTTCTTGGCCGGACTAAACACGGAGTTAGATGAAGTATGAGGGCATATTTTTGGAAAAAATCCTCTTCCTACCATACGTGAAGCTTTCTCAGATGTTCGTCGCGTCGGGAAGAAGCGCGACAAAGTGTAATGGTTAATAAGAAGCATGTTGTTGCTGCTACGGAATCTAGCACTTGTAACCCTATAAAACCGTATAGTCTATAAGAAAGCAAAAAATGAGGTAAAGCGTGCTGAACAACCATGGTGCGACCATTGCCAGCGTGCATGGCACGTGAGGGACATGCTGGAAAATTCATGGAAAGCCTCAAAACTAGAAAAAGAAGTTCAAGGGAGCGCGCATGGCACACGACCATTGCCTCTACTCAAGAGTAAACGTCTTCTTCAAGTTTATTTCCTTTCAGCAAGGAATAAATAGACCAACTGCACAAACTTCTTGTGTTTCAAAACACTCCCTCTTGCTTGCAAGTTCAGAAAGAAAACTATTTGAAAGCTGCTCTTATTAGTGTAAGGTCACGTCACACTTGGATTATTGATTCAGGTGCAACCGATCACATGACAGGGTAATCTAGTCAATTTTATAGCCCTTGTGTAGTAAACCAAATAATAAAAATTGCAGATGTCTCTCTTTCAGCCATTGCAGGAAAATGCTCCATTCTAGTATATCCTTCACTTACTCTTCACGTTGTCCTTCATTTTCCCAAGCTTTCGTGCAATCCTTTGTGTGTTAATAAATTAGCACCTACGCAAAACTCTCAAATCAACTTTTTCCCAACTCATTTTGAATTTCAGGATTTGACTTCAGGGAGGATGATTGGCATTGCTTTGCAAATTGGAGGACTTTACATCTTTGACTATGAGTCTGAACTGAGGCAACAATCCCATCAAATATGTTTCTGCTTTGAATTAACTTTTGTTCCTATGGTAATAATGATATCATGTTATGGCATTTTAGATTAGGTTACCTAAGTTTCACATATTTAAAACACTCGTTTCCAAATTTGTTTGTCGATAAAGATCCACCTCTATTTCAATTTCATTGTGAAATTTGTGTCCCTGCAAAACACCATCGTACATCTTTTCCTTCGCAACCGTATGAACCATCAAAGCCTTTTTATATCACTCATTTAATATCATTCACTGATGTATGGGGTCTGAAGTACATGTTTCCAAAAGAGACAGTTTATCACATTTAATCGACTATGTTGGTTGTATCTAATGAAAGAAAAATTAGAAGTGGAATAAGTTTTAAGATCTTCTATCACCTGATGCAAACTCAATTTGAGACAAATATAAAAGTTTTTCGAAGCGACGATTGGAAAGAGAATTTTAACTTGGCCTTGCAATTTTTTTTCTTGAAAAAGGAATAGGTCATCAAAGTTCTTGTGTTGATATTGACAGGTATATCATATCAAGGCTCTATATGACTTGGCCTATAAGGCCCATGAAGAACTCTATATATGTGGTTATTCATATAAAAAGAATACATCAATTCACACAATTCTAGGTTCACAACATGGTATCACAACAAATGGAGTTTATTTTATTTCCTCTTCCGGTCTCACCTCCCACACCTGTCATCTGCGCCTTGAAATTCCTGTCCCGCCAGATTTTTCTGAAACAGTGCCGGCTATTTCACGCGCCAAATTTTTTCTGGCGAACATCCGTGGGCTCGAATATTTGAGATCGTGCCTTCAGTTTCTCGTTTGAAGATTTTTTGCTGTACATTTTGGCGAGCATCCAATTCCCGAGGTTAGGGCTTGTTTATTTCAATCAATCCTTGTCACTATTCAGAGTCTTGTTTTCTGTCGTCACTTGTTCGTCTTGTGATTTTAAGCTACCATTGCGAATATATGCATCGTTGTTTGCGTATCTTCCGCCCATCGCTAAGGTATTTTGTTATACGTTATCAAATCATGTCGCAACTCAATGCAATTGTTATCAATATCACTCTTGATTGATAGAATAATTGGGAGTGAGCTTTTTATGTGGAAACAACATTGAGGGGTTATGGTCTAGCTTTTCACTTGACCGATGACGGACCCAAACGAAAGGTCGATAATAGTAATGCTCCTGACACCAGGACAAGGCAAGTTAATGACGGGAAGTGATGACTGCCATCCTCAATAGTGTCACGCAGTCCATGATCATGAGCCTTTTCTCTTTTCGAACAACTAAGGCGATGTGATTCTATTTGCAACAACGCTATGCTATGATCACGAGCCTTTCCACTTCTGGGTATTACACTTATGTTGGGGGATATTTCGTGACATGTCGTATACAAAAAACAAACCTTTGTTACTAGATCGAGTGCTGCAGCCATGGCCCATTCTGTTATTATGGTTGAAGATTTTTCTCGAAGAATTGGGATATACATAGGGTGCTGTTATTTGTCGCCCCAAATTACTACTTGTCGCCCGAAAAAAATATAAAAAAATTATAAATTTACAAAAATATCCCTGTGGTAAAAAAAAGTTAATAGAAAAAAATGCATTCAAACGTCTAACAACAAATCTCGGAAGTCAAAGAAACGTCTAGAAGTTACGCTTGGCAGCCAAAGAAACGTTCAGCAAAGAAGCCCGACTGTGAACACAAACGTCCAAGAGCTAAGCTTGGAAGCAAAGGAAACGTCCAAATGCGAAGCCCGACTCTAAAGAGAAACGTTTAAATGAGAAGGGGCAACATATTTAAAACTGTTAAATTGCAAACTTATTCTGCTGCTAAACGTGTAACTGGAAAGCTTGAGGCCATGTAAAACGTCCATGAGTTAAGTTTTAAAGCATAACAAATGTCCTTTATCAAAGCTTGCCTATGAAAGCAAACGTCCAGAAGCTAAGCTTGGAAGCTAGGTAAACGTCCAACATGGAAGCTCCACTGTGAGAACAAACGTCCAGGAGCTAAGCTTAGAAGTCAAGTAAACATCTAACTGGAAAGCTTGAGGCCACGTAAAACGTCCAATAGTTAAGCTTTAAAGCATACCAAACGTTCTTCATTGAAACTTGCCTATGAAAGCAAACGTCCATAAGCTATGCTTGGTAGTCAAGCAAACGTTCAACATGGAAGCTCCATTGTGAAAACAAACGTTCTGGAGCTAAGCTTGGAAGTCAAATAAACGTCCTAGAAGGAAGCTTAAGTTCATATGGAACGTTTGATAGTCAACCTAACAAACGTCCAACGTTCTCGGTACATTAAACTTTCCTTTCCTTAGGGAAGTTTGTTATTATCATAAGCTTCTCTTTGGGACGTTTGTTCTGCTTCAAAGCTTAGCAGTCGGACATTTCCTAGGGCCACAAGATATAAACAGGAACGTGCATACAAAAACCTCTACTTTGATTCGCTAAAAAGTGAGGTTCATTTTATTGGACTAATAGTTTAAGTGAGGTTCATTCACAACTATCATAATTATC